GCCTCAGCTTCTACCACATTAGAGCCCACACGCACATATATACACATTCTTAGAGCTCCAGAAAGAGACAAGCTGAAGAGCACTCGAGCTCAAGTGGAGTGAAGAAATCTCACGTACAGATAGAATATTATTAAAGAGCGCTCAGAGATGTTTTATACTGTTTTCATTCACCAGGACTCACGCAGAATATCTGCTTGATCCAAGAGCAATGGAGACGGGTGAAAATGCTAACTCGTGCACGTGTTGAATGAATCCTGAACAGACCTTTCTCAGTTGAGCCTTTTATTTTTACCTGAACAAGGTTGTTTCACAATATAGTCTTAGAATGATTTCCACCAAGCTAAGATGGTTCAGGAAGCTTTAACCCCAGAAAAATATAATAATATGCAGAGGTGTGACCTCGAGTCACATGACTTGGACTCGAGTCATTATTTTAATGACTTCTGACTTGACTTGATAAAATCTTACATTTGATATTTCAGCACGAAATTGGCATGACATGGACAAAAATCATAACTCATTCTTGGTTCTGGGTTTGATTTACTGCTAAATGCAGCAGTACTTTGTTTATAATCAGCCTCAGTTGCACTTTCTGCTTGTTTGAGCAAATAAACGAAGCTTTAAGAAGCTTTATTTCTGGAATTTATTTATTATCATTGTCATTAAATTGAAGTTGGACAGATGACTTGAACATGACTTGAAAATTCAAAGTTAAGGACTTCGACTTGACTTGGACTTCCACATCACTGACTTTGGACTTGGTTGTCTTTGACTTGGACTTGACTTAAGACTTGACTGGAAAGACTTGTGACTTACTTGTGACTTGCAAAGCAGTGAGTTGGTCACACCTCTGATAAGACTAATAAAAGTGTAATTTTATCATTTGTGCAGTGTAAATTGTTACAAAGAACATCCCATACAACAGTGATCCCCAACTCACTTGCCGGAGGCGTCATTTGGATGTCCAAGGAAGATCCCACCTTTCTCATCTCTGATTGGCTAGAAAGGCTCTACTACAATTGGCTGTTTCATTTAGCAGCAAACAGGCTGCCCTGGCTAAGTGCAGACTGTCCTTTTGCCACCAGCAGAAAGCAGTTTTGGCTAGTTTTGTAAAGGAAATGTGAACTTAGCCTTATAATAACCATTCTGTCCTGTTTTGCAAAAATATTTTATGTTTTATGTTTCATAAAAAAACTGAAGAACGTAAAATGTGAATTTATAATCTTGTTGCATTCATCAAACTGTTGGACTTACTTTACATCTCTTGGCTCTGAAGCATTAAGAGTACATAGGATAAACATATGTGCCTTACCTGGGAATGATATTTAATAAAACTGCCCTTTTCTGCCCAGCTGTGTGCATCAGGTCTGTTTCTTCTCTAGAATAATGAAAACTGGTGAAAAATAGGCCTAAATCATAATCAGCTTCGATTTAACTTTTGATTAACTGATACACATTTAATCTGATGATGAGAGATGTGCTCTAACGTGTAAACAGCCTTAACCTCTTAAAGTGAAGACGTAGGATAGTAATATGATAACCCCAATAAAGGTAAATTGAGATAAAAAGTCAGTCTACAGTGTGATAAAATGCAACAAGATTTATTACAAGTTCACATCTGATGTTTTTCAGCTTCTTTTATGAAAGAAACCGAAACTGGTTTGTATCAAAACAGGAAAGGATGCTTATTTTAGCGATGAGTTCACATTTTCTTAAAAAAACTCCTCAAGATCTGGCTGTGAACAAAAACCCTGCAGCGAAGGGGAAACAGTTTCCTCTTTCACGAAACAGCCAATCGTAGGAGAGCCCTCCCAGCCAATCAGAGGCGAGAAAGGCGGGACCTTGCTTGGACATCCTAGAATACCAAATGATGCTTCCCAGACGGCTGCCATCCAGCATGTTTTACTGTTTTTCCTGCTTCAACACACCTGATTTTAATCAGCAGGGGTCTCATTTATCAAACATTGCACAGCATCTTTACTAAAACCGTACTTAAGCTCAGCAAAAAAATTTACTTATGCCAAGTAGGTTTGTAACCTATAAAACATGGAGTACGTACAGCTGCACGAAATCTCCGCTTTATAAATCAGAGACTAAAGAGAAAGGTTCTCAGCTGCTTTTCAGTCACATCCCGCCCTCACCACACCCACTTACTGCCATAAATAGTCAATGCAAATTGCCTTGTGGATCTCATGCATATACATACATAAGCTGGCTTGTTGCAGTGTTTCGATCCCAACTGCAGATCAAGGAGGCACTTGTTCACACTTGTTCTGTGTGCGAATGAAGCGGTACAAGTGATAATGCTGCTGGATTTCATAATTGGATCCTTCTCAGCAGCAGCACTGCAGGTGCTCTCCATGTCCGAAATGTCCACAAGCCAGGTCCTTCTTCAACTTAAAGTTGCGCACATTTTTCCGCTACATTTTCTTTTATAAATCCCAAAGTTTTTGTGGAAAGTTGCTTACGCAGTTTTCCGACCCCATTTTGTGCGTAAGCAAGCTTGATAAATGAGGCCCCTGGTGATTAAAAGGCTTCTGCAGAGCTCGACAAGCTGCTGAACAGGTGAATCAAGTGCATTGAATTAGGGAAACAACTAAAACATGCTGGATACCTGCCGTGGGGGAAGGAGTCCATGGGAGGTACAGAGTTAGACAATATCTTTAAGAACGGTTTGCAACTTCAGCAGGAATGAGAACAAAGTCAGCCCCCTTTGGGCCCTAACGTCCCCCATGTACGGGACTTTGAAGTTTAGCAGCAAAATTCATGAACTAAATATCAATAATTGTTTACGGAACAGAAACTAAAATTTAAACTGTTTGACGGGAAATAAAAAGCAATTTTAAATTCTGATTAAATAAGATACTTGAACTTTATATTTTAGAAGAGAATCTGGCCCTCACGGTGTCTGCCGGGAAATACTCCGCTATGGGGGGAGGCCTGAAGAGGTGATGTCAGCAGATGCCGAGTCACTTTTTGGAGATGGTTCAAAGAGTTCTTGTTTTTGTAGTCCGTACCATTTCTCTGCTTTTTATCCATCCATCAATCCATCCGTCCGTCCACCCGTCCATTTTCTTCCACTTATCCGGAGTCGGGTATTGGAGGGCAGCAGCCTAAGTCGAGAGGCCCAGACTTCCCTCTCCCTAGCCACCTGGGTCAGCTCCTCCGGTGGGAATTCCTACGCGTTCCCTGGCCAGGTGAGAGACATAGTCCCTCCACTGTGTCCTGGGTCTACCTTTAGGTCTCCTCCCAGATGGACGTGCCCGGAAAATCTCACCAGGAAGGCGATAAGGAGGCATCCTAACTAGATGCCCGAGCCACCTCAACTGGCTCCTCTCGATGTGGAGGAGCAGCAGTCTACTTTGAGCCCCTCCCGGATGACTGAGCTTCTCACCTTATCTCTAAGGGAGAGCCCAGACACCCTGCATAGAAAACTCATTTTGGCCGCTTGTATCCACGATCTCGTTCTTTCGGAAACTACCCAAAGCTCATGACCATAGGTGAGGGTAGGAACGTAGATCGACCGGTAAATCGAGAGCTTCTCCTTCCAGCTCAGCTCTCTCTTCACCACGACAGACTGGTACAACGCCCGCATCACTGCAGATGCAGCACCAATCCGCCTATCGATCTCACGCTCCAGTTTTCCCTCACTCATGAACAAGACCCAGAGATACTTAAACTCCTCCACTTGGGGCAGGACCTCATCCCTGACCCGGAGAAGGCATTCTACCCTTTTCCGAATCAAGACCCTGGTCTCAGATTGTCTGTGCTTTTTATATTTAAATCAAGTTCAAATTTAATCACTGCCTCATCGTTTTTATTGAAGTACAGCTGTGGTTAAGCTAAACTTGAAGCACTCTCTGAGCAATCCTCCCTTATGGGGAAAAGAACCAGGAAGGGTACCAGGGATGCGACCAAGGCTGCAACGAGCCGCAGACCGGATCACTGACCAAGATCTAGCCGTATTCATGGTTCATTACCTATAAATGTCCTCTAAAGGAGCATTCTCATAAGAAAATTCAAAATTCTTTCCACTTGTGTGTTTGAACTTAACTCGACTCCAGAGAAGCAAACGCCCATGACTCACACACACCAGACTGCTGACTCGATGCATTTATGAGATGTGTTTTACAAAAATAAAAAACAAACAAAGCCACAGCAGTGAATTACTGACTTTTTTCACATGTTCTTAGTATCATGTTTATCGTTCTCCTCCAAAGGCGACATCAGGACTGATTAGACTTGACTTTTGCACCAAATGAGAGCAGGGCAATGACCCATTATGATGTGAAATGGCTTCCAGCATCGTGATCGTTGTTTCATCTCACAACTAAACTCAGCAAACACTTTTTAACATGTTATTCGTGCTGCAGAAGCGTGCCGTGGGCTGTGTGTAAAGGTGGTATTTCATCCTTCTGCATGTGCACACTGCAAATCTGTTGATCCTGAGTTGTAGCCTGATGTCACACACCGACCTCCAACATTTCTGTCTGACTTCTCATCCTTTTTATTCCTGGGTGCGTTTTGTCTCATTGCACCTGACGTAATCTGGTCTGTGTTATAATTACTCATAAATTAAGCATAAATTAGAAATGTATCCACCTGTAAGGGTGCACCCCTGTACCGTCCAAGACAATGTCCAAATTTGGCTGAATTAGGCAACAAGTGATGCTCAGTCAGATCTAATGGAGTGGGTACAAGTTAATACGACTCAAGAGCAAGTCCAGGGTTTGGAGGCCTGCCTCTACTCCACCAACCAATTAGATTTTAATTGAAAATAGTCTGAGCTCTTCATCCTAATATGACTGACATGAAAATCTCAGAGGTGATATTTTAATGTGAATGAACGGATGTGTTGAAAAAAAAGTCATAATTTTTTCCAAATGTTTCAAAGATTTGATGATTCATACGTCTTTGATGCAGTTTGAAATTGTCCACAAGTGAAGAGGAAAATCCGGATAAATACTGAAAGCTTTTGCTTTCCTGTTTTCTGCTTTCAGGATGTAAAATCAACATTCTTCCAGTTTGGTGCCTCAATCCAGCAGGAGGCCCTGTTGATGCTGAACATCATGGAAGAGTACGACTGGCACGTCTTCTCCATCGTCACATCAAAGTTCCCTGGCTACCAGGAGTTCGTCAACATCCTTAAAACTACTGTTGACAACAGGTAGGGGCAAACAGTTCCCCAGGAACTCAGAAAACCATGAATGCTCTTCTCCGTGAGATCTAGGTTGAAGCTGCAATAACAAATCTGGAAAACAAGCTAGCATTAAGGGGTGGTTGACTGAAAAACCATTTGTAACGATTTTTTCCGTCACTCTGAGTTTTTCATGCTGACTGAACGTGAATCAGTCTTCTACAACCGTCTCCTGCGATAGGAAATAAACGGTGAAATGCTAGGATTTGATAATCCTCACGTATCTTTAGCGTTTTTACAAGACAATGCCATCGATTTGCTACAACGCTGTGGCGGCATCAGGTACCCTTAGGCCGTTTATAAGTGGTCAGACCGTGGTGATAATGTGGCACAATCATGTTCCTTTTAGAAAAGATTAGGCGATGGCGGCATAAATGGGGTATGGCGGCGGTCTCTGCGATGCCGTGGACTTCTGTGTATCTTGGACATAACTTTCTTTTTATGGCGATTGAAGCTGCGATAGTTAAGTTTTTTTTTAACAAGCCACTCCTAAAGGTGTCTGTCCCCATCAGTCCCTGCTGCCTCTGATGATCTGATCACCAGCTCTAACAGTGACGCTCATGGAGCGCCGCAGCGCTCTAGTTTGCTGTCTCAGCTAATTTTGTTTGAAAAGCAAAACTTATTACCCATTTTTGTTTTCATTTTTAACATACCGTAAATCCTCTAATATTAGCCTGTATTTAATTAACTGCCGGGTATCGGAGTCGGCGGAGGTGAATAATGGCCAGTTTTTTTTGTGGCCGGGTGGAATATGGTAACAAGCAAGTACGGGGCGGTTGTGTCATCCGTCTCACTTTTGATTTGCCAGTGATAGACCGCGAGGGTAACTTTAACCGTGCGGAGACGAAGAGGAGGCAAAAATTTGATATCAAGTTCAAAGAGAACGTGCTGATTATGCTGCAGAACACTCTGGGGAGCAGTAGGGGTTGTATGAACTAGTCACTAGTCGACTTCACCGCTCTATAGTGACTTTTTATGCCTGTCATTGACTAGTCACTGTCACGTGATAATGACCGGCAAGATGCAGTCCACGGAAAAGACAGCAGCCTGCTGTCAGCAGGTGACAAGCTCCTGCGCGTCGGGAGGCAACACGCTGTGCCAGAGCGTCGGTACTGACACCCGCCGTAAAACGGACATTTAACCAAATTGTGACCCTTACCCTCTTGCAATTTAACCTTCCCCTCACCCCCATCCTAACCTTAACCAGCTTGCGCATGCAAAGCTCTGATTATTGACGCGCTCCAGGCATCTGCGTCCTGAGCACGGCCACAGTAACATGATCAAATCAGGTGTCGCCACCTCAAAAACTAATTTAACACGCAATCGTTCATGTCGGCTCATTTCCTTTTATGTTTTCTGTCTTTTATTCTTTTATTTGTGCCTGATGCTTTTCGCTGCTGTGGAGCGGGGCGCATCACCTGTTTTGTCCTCGGTGACACACCTAACTGATGTGGCCGGCGTGCACTCCGCTGTTTTTGCGGTCGGTAGATCTTTTAGAACTGCAGTTCAAAGGTATCTCATGAGGTGAATATATATGAAGCCAGGTAGCAGTTTTTCTTTAGGATTGAGAGGAGATGCAGGAATATAAGAAACAGACAGGACAGAAAAATAGTCAAATAAAAACAAGTTAGTTTTTGTACCTGGTGGTTGCAACAAACAGACACCATTGAAGGTAATCAGAAGTGAGGAACAGGAAATGAAATAATTATTTTAATGTTTAGAGCAGCAGGAACTCCGAGAGGCTGCAGGCGCATCAGTGAGTTTGTGGCCGCTGTGCAGGGGGAGGGGGGAGAGGGCTGAAGCAGAAACTACCGTTGTTAAAAGAAATGTGTTTAACTTTGAAAATGTGGGTACAATTTTAATTGTCAAAAACTCCACCGAACCATTAGTTCATTTTGCTCAAATAGAAATTGAGGCCTGCCTCTAATTCTGGTCCTCCTTCCAATAAAGGCCTGGAGCTTGATGAGCTTGAGTCAAATACAGGCCCGGGGCTGTATTAGAGGATTTACGGTATTTGCCGGCTGGAGCTCGGCATGAACTCCCCACGTCATCCTGACACCTCCCTTTGTTGCGACATGGCGCAATAGCTGTTTATGAGACAGACCATTACCGCTATATTACTGCCAATCGAGGCAGAAAAACTGGTGCAAAATTTGCGCAACGCCATGCGGGCATGGCACCTTTTTAAGACACACTGCTGCGATAATATTACGCCAATTTGCCAGCATGGTGTGTCTTGTAATAAGGGCTTCTGTCACACTGTGAATTTGCATTCATGGTCCCACCCATCGTGGCTAGCGCCCGCCCACAGGAAGGCTTTTTTTACTCACTGGTGTTAGAGGTTCTTCACTCAATAACATCAGAGAATCAGAAACAGCCGGCTGCTACCCCTTCAACTTTAGGACAAACTACCAGAGTCGAAAAAGAAAAACTCCATTTCTAGTCATCTAGAAGATGGCGACTGGTGTTTTGTGCTCTCTCGTTTCCTCTGACAGTGTGGGTTCATGTATCCGGAGGACCTGGCCCAGGGATGATACCTGAGGGGAGGGTTGAGAGTAATAGGACCGTGTTTATGTTTGAAAGCTAGCTTGTTATGTAGATTTGCTGATGCTGCTTGAAGCTCATTTAGCTGTCATAGGTTTAATGTTTAATTGGAAACATACTTAAGGCACTAGCAGAATAACCCCCTAGAACAACCTAAAAAATCCAGGGTTAAACTATGGTTGGTAGTATTTGTTGTATATTACTGGGGTTAGGGTTTATTATATTACTGATATCTTAATAATTAATTAGATTTCTGTAGCACTTGTCAAGGGACCTGAAACACTTTTTTTCATTCCCTCATTTATTCTGAGTCTGGTGGTACTAGTAAGCTTCTACTGAAGCAGCTGCCCTGGGGTACTCTAGCAGAGAAAAGGCTGCTATTTTGCGTCCACAGGACTCACATATGGGCAAGTGGGGTGAAGTGATTTACCGAAGGATGCAACAGCAGAATGAATATGAACGAGCTGGGTTCCAACCACCAACCCTCTATTTACCGCAGGGCCCGCTTTACCCCTGGAGCCCTGGCGTCCCAGTTGTTAGTGTTATGTTGGTATTCATCAGCTTGTATTTGGAAGACTGGGAAATGATGGATTCCATTAGTCATCTGAAACAGTCCATTTGGGAATATTAGCCAACAGTCCCACCCCTGTCTGGGCTTTAACTTTCAAGAAAACTGGAACACACAATTTGTCATTGTGATGCTAATCATAATGAGCCTTGGTCCCATTCTGTGCTGATGCATAGACCAGTGGTTTCCAAATTTGGGGTTGGGACCTCACTGTGGGTCACCAAGAACTAGACAAGAGGTCTAATTTAAGAAACACAGAAAATGTGTTTAATGCTCTTCAGAGCTGTGAAACTACAAAATACTCCAGATTTTAAAAGCTGATTCTCAGTAGTCAGAAGTCATTTATATTCATTTGAAATATTACCAGAGGGCCTTTTTGTGTTCATGTGCTCAAGAGTACTGGTTATTCTCTGGGTGCTTTGAGAAATAATTAAAATGCTTTTTGCAGTGTAGTAATTTGAAACACAAGCCCTACATAGGTGAAGTACTTCACTATTGAGAATACAAATCAATAGCTTTAGTGCATAGCAAGCCTTCCCATCTGATCTATGGTTGGCAGTCTAATCAAAAATGGCCCACATGTCCACAGTGTGATCTGGACTCCTCTGACAAGTGTTCGTTTGCATGCGCGTCTCGCTGGATGAAAACATCGTTATCTGGATGCATGAAGTCTTTCTTCAACATCACAAAAGCACCATGATCTGCCTCGCACCGTGCCGTTTCTCTGATTGCAAACCTCAGATCACTGTCGTAGCGTTCAGAGCTGATGAGTGCAGGCAAGTCTGATTATAGTGGTTTTACACTCCTAACGGTGAATGCTGCTGAACACACATTGATCTGCCTTCCCTCAGAGCGTGGTGTCTTTTTCATGTTGAACAGGGATTTCACACGCTAACATTTTCATTCAGTGTCTGGATATTTTTGGGACACACTTTGGCCTAGAAAGCACTGTGCCAAGTATGTGTCACTTTACAGATTTGTTGTTCAGATGAGCAATAAAGCTGCCTCAAAGATCTTGTGATTAATTAGTAATGAGTTGGGCTGAATCGTTAACAGCTAGGCAATACTGCTCGATTTAATCCTGATAGGGCCATTTGATCCACCTCTACTAATACAGTCCATGATTTTATCACCGACATTCTAGAATAGAATAGACTTTATTGGTCCAACAATAAAAATCACTTGTTACAGCAGCACAAACACTGGAGAGAATGATTTAAAGAGGGACTGCACACCATCAGAAAACATAACTCCACCCCTACAATGGCGCCCCCAAGCACCCCTAGAAAATTGCTCCGCCCCAGCAAAAACCAGTGTTAATAAATCATAGTTATATTCACTCAAACCATAAATTGATCTTATTTAAGACATAATTGTAAAACAAAATGAAAATAATACAGTTAATGAGTAAAGAAATAATAAGAATGAAAAAATAAACGAAAGTTTCTGCTGCTCACCCTTTTAAAGTTTTTTATCTCCATGGTTTTTGTGAACACAGCAAGAGATTAATTAAACTAAAAAAATTAAATTACATTTAAATAATTGAAATGTATTTTTCTGAAATGTTTGTGTTTGTAAAATTGTAGTTAAATGTTTTGGATATGTGCTGTTTATTTTTTTTTTTTTAAGTTAAAAGAAATAAAGGAGCAATGCAATACATCACCATAGGTTAAACTCTCCCAGAGTTACCACAAGGACCAATTTGGTGTGCCACCCCAGAAATTTCTTTGGCCTCGTCTGGCCACCCCTATCCACATTTTCTGGAGGCGCCCCTGCACCCCTAGTCAAGATTTGCAAAATGTTATGAAAGTGGGCATTGCCAGGAGGCAGGGAGTGGCATGGCCAAGTGTGGGGAAATTCCATCCCGGGAGGGAGGAGGAGTGGGACGAGACTGTATCGATGGCATGTATTTGTACCAGTCCCAGTCAATCACAAATTTACAGTGCAGTAGCCACAGTTAAACCCACAGGGGGCCGCACTAAGATGTTTTTAGACCTAGATTCTAGATGTCAAAAATGCACAGAAACAGAAAGATTACATTTGTTTAGACCCAATTATGCAGTTTATAAGCAAAAAAATAAGGTTATTTTGGAGTTTAGTTACTTTTTAAAGAAAAATAATAACAAATGTACACGTAGGCAGTAAGCTAGTATTGTAATCTTCAACCATTAAAAAAACATAAAAATGAAAAACTTCCATGACTATGCAGCTTTACTGTAAGAGACACAGACGTACTATGTAAATCCGGTATTTCACGAGTATTGAATACGTATTGGGTATTGCTTTAATGTTGTTGTGTACCAGGATATTCTCCTCCTCTCTGTCTGTGTCTTTTTAAACGTTTTCACAATTGGTTTTGCCAACTGAGAAACTGCGGAGCAGAGCAGGTCCCAAGGTGCTCTCATGTTTCACTGCCTGTCTGCTGCGAGATCCTTCACACAGGTTAACAGCCTTCCTCTTTTCCCTAAGCTGTGTCACAGTTTGTAATAAACACTCACTCAGTCCCTGTTGTGAGTAAATCATGGTTCCTCCCTATGCTAGCAGTTTTTAGCTAGCCCCGACTTTTGAGAATAAAGCTATGAAACTTATGAGATTAGAGCTGATTTTAGTAGAGATGAACCAACATTTCTGATATTTTTTAAGCTTTTTAAGCAATTGCAGGCCACATTGAGAAATTAGCCTTTGTGGACTTACCCGTCTTGGTTTGTAACCAGTGTTGGGAGTAATACGGTACAGAAGTAATTAATTACTGTAATGCATTGCTTTTTGCTGTAATGTGGTAATGTAAGGCATTACAGGGAAAGAAAATGGTAATATTTACTCGGTACAATTGTCAGTAACGCAGTAATTACAATGCATTTTTAAACCCAGAATCAAGATGCGTTTCTTAAAAATTCAAATTGCGGGAAGCCTGAAAAAAGATCCGGTATCTGCATATATTACGTCATTTATGGACTCAGCTTTGCGAGCATTCTATGAGCAGAGAGGACGCAGCGGTAACGGCTCAACTACTCCAGTTGCGTCCTGCACGCGGCCGCTGTTATATTCACAAAATCGCTCCACTAAAACAAAATAATTCACCTGCGATCGTTCATATCAGCGCATGTTCTCTGGTAGTCTGTACTTCTCTGACGTGCTTTGCCTCATCTGAGTTAATCTGGGCCCCGGTGATTTTAACTCATTGCTGCTGGAGCGCCGCACATGTGAAGATCCCTTTGGCTGATCGTTAGAAAGTAGGAAATCTAGGAAACAGTTTTTTCTGGAAGACGGAGAAAACATGCAGCTTGCAGGAAGGTTAGAGAGAGGAAGGGCAGGAAATTATTCAGATAAAATCAAGAAAACAAAACAAAGTGCTTGAAAAGACAAAAAGTAGGTAGATTTATCCCCAATACTCATTTTTACCAGTGAAAAGCAAGAATATATAAGCATTTAATATTTATACGTGTGATAGAATCAGATCACCCCAGAAGTCAGTCCCACATCCAGGGCCGTATCAAGGCATTTGGGGACCAAGGCTAAATAGACTTGGAGCCCCCACCACCTCACCCCCTGCTCAGTTAATCTAAGATGGCAGCGTGTTGAGAGTACAGATTGTTGTTTCATTTATTTCATAAACAATCATTTTAAAGAACTGTTTTCAACAGCAATCCTAGCTCAGACACCACATCACCTTCCACCGGATGTGTCATGAGTTCAACGGGCGTCAGATTACCTAACTCATACTGAAGTTGTTTTGTTGAAAGTAACTTAGAGTAATGCAAAAGTAATGTAATGCCTTACATTTTAAAATCAGTAATATTGTAATGTAATGAATTACTTTAAAATGAGGGTAACAAGTAATAAATAATGTATTACAGTTTTGAAGGAACTTGCCCAACACTGTTTGTAACGAGGAAGGCTGTTGTTATTTAACATTCTGGAGCGAGCAGAAGCTAACTGTTAGGGCCAGGATATACTTACTGTTTAGCAACTCATACACATTTTCAGTGTTGAGCCCCAACGCGTTCATTGAACGATCGTTCGTGAATTTTTTTTTTACGTGAAATGAACTCGTTTGTATTTTGCCTGACAAACGTAAAAGTGAGTGCGTTCGTCCTGGCGTGCATGAATGGGACAATGAACGTGTTCTTTCGCCATTCTAGCTCCAGATCTCCACTGAGCTTTTCTGGAGCTAAAGCCTAGCTAAAAAATCCTCTTAACCATAGAGTTTACAAAAAGTAGAACCCGCAAATGCGACCAAACATAGGCAGTAGCGGTTGGTGTGGCGTATATTCTTCTACGTCTATGCTGATTGGAGGAGTCAGAGTTCGTACAGAAAAATTGAAACAGAACTAAATCGAACGATTATACTTTTCTTAATGTTTTGCACTTTTAATATTGCACTTTGAGTTTGCTACCTCAGCCTGCTTCCTTGTTTAATAATTTACCATTAAAAAACTGTTCAAATAATGTTTTCCTCATGTTATTGAGAATATACTGTAGGGTAAAAACTTGTGGACTGAACAGGTGCCAACTATAGAAAAATTATGTATATATATATATACGCCATGTTTGTTTTGGTTGTACCGATGGGTTGTACCCACAAACCCAGCTCTCTGTCCAGTCTGAGGCCAAATTTTAGAAAATAATAATGAGTACGATTCCACATCCTGTCGTTTTCTGCTCCAGTGTCCACCAACTAACTTATATTTCCTGAAACAGGAGCACCAGAGTTTTTTTGCCCAAAGAGATTGGCTCACAAAGCGTTCATTCACACAAGAAAAGAGACCACTGCAAATTTATTGAAAAAATTAATGAACTCTGTTTAAAGAACCATAAATTATAAAAAGGCTGAAGCTGCTTAAAGTGAGCCTTGCCATTTGCTCATGGATACTGTTAATGTTATTTATCTGCACTAAGTCTGTTGAAGAAGCCATCACCAACATATAAAATGGTCAAATTGTATAACTTTCACACTGAAACACAATTCAAATGGGCTAAAAATGTCTTTAATGTGTTTCCTTGACACTTAGCTCATGGAACTCCACAGTTACTTTATTATAATGAATAATTATGGCTGTTCTACCTAAGTGAACTACTTGTCATCCCAGCAAAACGATCCATACAGCACAATATCTCAATCCAAAATGACTTCCTATCTCTGGCTCCTTCAAAGGCAGTTCGAAATCTGGGTGTAGTGATTGATGAACACCTGACCTTTAAAGATCATGTTGCCTCTGTTGCTCATTCATGCTGCTTTGCGCTGTATAACATACGAAAGATCAGACCATACCTAACACAACATGCCACCCAGCTCCTGGTGCAATCTACTGTCATCTCCCGCCTCGATTACTGCAACGCCCTTCTAACTGGTCTTCCAGCCTGTACTGTGAGACCTCTTCAAATGGTCCAGAACGCAGCGGCGCGTCTGGTCTTCAATCAGCCAAAAAGAGCACACGTCACCCCTCTGTTCATTGAGCTCCACTGGCTACTGTTAGCTGCACGCATCAAATTCAAATTGCTAACACTAGCATACAAAGTCCGAGATGGTGTGGCTCCCATCTACCTGAATCCTCTTGCAAAGGCTTACGTCTCGGCCCGGCCGCTCCGGTCATCACAGGATCGTCGGCTAGCAGTGTCTACACCACACTCAGGACAATCCAGACTCTTCTCATGCATCGTTCCACAAATGTGGAATGACCATGGGCTGCATGGTGACACAGTGGTTAGCACTGTTGCCTCGCAGCATGAAGGTTGCAGGTTCGAAACTCGGCTGCGACCTTTCTGCGTGGAGTTGAGTGTTCTCCCCATGCACGTGTGGGTTTCCTCCGGGTACTCCGGTTTCCCCATAGATCACAACATGCTCTATAGGTTATAAATTGTAAGTCGCTTTGGATAAAAGCGTCTTCTAAATGAATAAACATAAACATAAACCTTCCAAGCACTACCAGAACAGGGGCTTCCTTTTCAATTTTCAAGAAACTCCTGAAGACCCTGCTCTTTAGAGAGCATCTTCTAAACTAGCACCCTCCCTGCACCCGTTCCCCTCTCTACTGTCCACTCCTTGTTCCCTCCTCTCCTTGATTGATGTAATGATGTTGTTATTGTTGTTGTTAGCCTCAAGGGCAACATGCCGATTATCACTTGTAAGTCGCTTTGGACAAAAGCGTCTGCTAAATACATAAACATAAACATTTGAGTGAAGTTAATCATCTGGTAGATAATGAATTAAATGTTCACATTTATCCTGGCATCTCTTTTTAGTTTTGTGGGCTGGGACCTGCAGAACATCATCACACTGGATGCAGTGGAGGAAGACAGCCGGTCTCAGATCATGCTCAAGAAGGTCCAGTCTCCGGTGGTCCTGCTCTACTGCTCTAAAGACGAAGCGGTCTACATCCTGGAGGAGGCCCGCTCTCTTGGCCTGACTGGATTTGGTTACATCTGGATTGTGCCGTCTCTCACCACTGGGAATACTGAAATAACACCAGAGGCGTTTCCATCGGGGATGATTTCAGTGTCGTACGATGACTGGGACTACCCGTTGGAGGCTCGAGTTCGTGACGGACTTGGAATCATAACTTCAGCAGCGGCAGCCATGTTGGAGGAGTATGGTGACATTCCAGAAGCCAAGACGTCCTGCTATGGCCAGATGGAAAAGACATCCAAGCTGCCTCCAAGTGCTCTGCACAAGTAAGTTGTTATTGTTTTCTTTAAGTCTTCATATAGGCAGGCTTATAATGGTACCGCAATGGAAGTAGTACACAGATTGTGGTATTGTGTTGACAAGTGAGGGTGTGAAACATCTTTGGTATTATTGCTGATTAGGTTGACTTTTTTACAATTACAGCAGAGAAAACACTCAAGTCTTGAAACTGAATTGATGGAGAAGTGAATAATGAGGAGGTGATGGGAGTGTCGGGTGTAGTTTGTGATTTAGGCATTGAGAAGATAAAGAGGGGGATTTAGATGGGATAACAGCAGGAAGCCTCTACAAATGAGAGCTCTCTCAAACCGAAGAGCTCCTTGATGAGTCCTTCTGCTCTTTTTCTCATTTATTCTTTCGTTTCTCATTTGCTCTCTTCATCTTGCACTCAGCCCTCCCATAAGTCAGTGAGAGATGTTGCTGTGGTGCCAGCTCTGTCTGGCTTCCCATGCGGACCAGGGGAAGGGGACACATACAATCAGTGTTTTATCCCAATATAGTTATTTGGGAGGAAATTAATCTCCTTGTGCCTGAATTACACAAGTTTACATTTTCGTGGCTATTGGCTTCTGAGCTGAAGTTCTGTCACACTGAAGGAAAACGGTGAATATCTGAATAGGAGTCTCTTTTTGCATTTTACAACAGTAAAATGTCCCATGTCAATGTTGAGTTTTGTCTCTGGTGTTAACACATCACATGGCTGTTTGCTAGATGCCTTTTGACAAGTAAAAGTCATCTTCATTGCTAAGTTAACCCCTCATCCAGTGAGCAAATCAATCACTATTGACACTTAACGTTGCATGGCATCATCATATTGGTCATAGCAGGAGTCACCTGTAGACCCATGTCTTAGCCACAAAGGATAGGGATCAGAAGTTTACATGTACTGATTTAAATCATCTCTGCACAGATAACATCTAATCTGTTTGATATAAAGATGAAAAGCCTGAATGCAGATTTGTTTAGTCCAAATATCAGCTGGAAAATGTATCATGTTCATGTGTGAATGATTGGTAGACGCCTGTTTTAGTGTATAAACCTTCTGGTGCCACTCAGGCTGTTTTCTAATTAAACACACTTACTAGTGACAAACAATTAATGATGCAATATGTAAGAATGAAGTAAGAATGTCATCCTGTGGTCAAATTTGATTACTGCAGTCCATTTTTCTAAACAACTATTTAATTTCCACTGCTGCTTCGTGAGTTTCATGGCTGAAGCCAGTTAAGGATCAGTTCCAGAAGACTCTACGTGACAAGCAAAGACGAGTCATACACTGTAAGATGATAAGCAGAGGTGTGGACTCGAGTCACGCGACTTGGACTCGAGTCAGACTCAAGTCATTATTTTATTGATTGACTTGATAAAATCTATATAGACTTACGACTTGACTCGGACTTGAACGTCAATGACTTGCTACTTGAATCGACGTGCATCTGTTGACTTGATGATGACTTCAGCATATTTGATATTTTAGCACAAAAGTGGCACGACATGGACAAAAATCATAAATCATTCTTCGTTCTGGGTGTGATTTACTGCTAAATGCAGCAGTACGTTGTTTAGCATCAGTTTCAGTTGCACTTTCTGCTTGTTTGAGCAAATGAATGAAGCTTTAAGAAGTTTTATTTCTGGAATGTATTTATTATATTATCATCGTCATTAAATTGAAGTCGGACAGATGACTTGATTATGACTTGAAAATTCAAAATTAAGGACTTGGACTTGACTTGGATTTCCAGATCATTGACTTTAGACTTGACTTGGACTTGGTTGTCTTTGACTTGGACTTGACTGGAAAGACTTGTGACTTACTTGTGACTTGCAAAGCAGTGACTTGGTCACACCTCTTGTCGATAAGTAGACAAGTACTTTGTCATACCTGGTGCTAGCACTCGAGGGATTTTTACGGTAGGGAGCACTTACGACAGGTATTACGGTAATGTCTGTCTGGGATTAGAGGAAGTTTGGTTGTTTGCTGTTGTGTTTTTAGCTTGGCGTTATAGTTCTGAACGGATCATTAAAGGAAGTAAAACACCACGATTGGTTAATTTTTCACTTCATACATTTCACTGTAATATCGAATTGCTGGCAATTAAAAAATTAGCTTGAGATGTTTTTTAGAGCCGACTATTTGCTTGTAATTCACCATTGAAAGTGTTAGCTCATTGTTAGCCTCTAGCTTACTTCACCCGAAATTAGAGTAGAACAAATGGATGCCGTGGCTTCTTAGGCATACAAGAAATAACTTCTGGGTCACTCCTGTTTACTGGCTTGAGTTTTATTTCAGTAACTACGTCTCTTTGTAAAGGAGAAAAACTGACAACAACCAAGCCGGTTGAGAAGAAAAAACGTTTCAGTATAATCTTCCTTCCAACACGATTGATACATTACACGGTTTTGTGATTATTTCACTTTAGAATTCTTACATATTGCTCCTATAATAAATAAAATCATTGGCAACAAAACTAAGCATGCATTGAATCTTAATGGCCACAAACCAGAGTTGTAAATTTCTAATAGCTAAAGCATTTTAGAAATGTTTGGACCGCACTGTACATATCAACAAGATTATACGATGGTTTTATTTTAAGATGTGACACACCAGGAAATGATTTTAAAAAATGGGGGTGTGCCATCTTACATACCTCATTATTCAATTTGATTCAGATTCCTACCGTTTGATTATTAAATTATTATCATGATTACCATGATTACTATGGTTTTTGATGCATTTTTTCACAGTTTAGTTATTTTTCTCTCACATCATAGGCTTTTCGTATTTGCAAATTATTTCAGCACCATCAATTCAAGTTACCACATACCTTTTGCTCCACTATTCTATTCATGTTGGACTGAACACATAACCAATGTACCCCGTGTTTCCTCTACATAGGCTCAGGCGAGGGCTGTGCCACAGACAACGAATGGCTGAAAGCATTTCTAGAAGAAAAAACTGGTACTTTAGTATGAAATTTACTGGAAAAAAACGCACAAAAAATTTAAATTAACACACGCAGTAGGTTTCGCTTTTGTAATCAGAATCAGCTGAGAGAACAAACTGGAGCAATGCAGAGCTCCTACATAAGGCACAGATCACCAAACAAACACCTTTTGAAGCGGCTTTTGAAAAAGAATGTAAGGAGTATTGTTTCATTCGGCATAAAACACAAGTTATGTTCAAGCTAAAGAGAAGTCTGGGACGGCAGTGAGACGGCCCCCACACCCTCTTTATGCCACCATCATGTTAACCATAGCAAGACGAAGTCTCCTCCCTTTCCGGTCGGCTCATGGGTCCCCAGAAGAACCAAAATATGGATGCAAGTCTACGGGGCTAAAAGAGCAATTTTCTAATCCACTTTCAGATTCAGATTTCTGATTTCAGATTTATTGGCCAAGTAAAATTACATTTACAAGGAATTTAGCTTCGGTAGATGTTCGCTTTCTAAAACATACAACAACCACAATAAATGAGAATAAAAATACATAAAAAACACATAAGAACATGTATACACACACGCACACACACACACACAAACACATGTACATTCACACACACACATACATGCATACATACACAAACACACATATATATGCATACACACACACACATACACATTTATACACACACACACACACACACACACATATACACATGTATACACACACACACACTCATATCCATAAGCATACTGAATAAGTATTAAAAACTATAGTAAAAGGATGATAAAAGAATCTACAGATTCAGGAGAGAAATGGCTGAAGGAAAGAAACTGTTCTTGTGTCTGGTGGTTTTTGTGTACAGCGATCTATAGCGTCTGCCAGATGGGAGGAGATGGAAGAGAGTAGATGCAGGATGTGTGGCATCTTGGACAATATTCACTGCCTTTTTCCTGCTCCTGCTGATGTACAGTTCCTGGACAGAGGGCAGTTGGGCACCAATGATTTTTCCTGCTGTTTTAATAATACGCTGTAGTCTGCATTTGTCCATTTTTGTGGCTGACCCAAACCAGACAGTGATGGATGAGCAAAGTATGGATTTGACTGCAGCAGTGTAGAAGATGATCAGCAGCTCTTGTGGTAGGCCGTACTTCCTTAGTTGCCGTAAGAAATACATCCTCTGCTGAGCCTTTTGGAGGATGGAGTTGATGTTTGTTTCCCACTTCAGATCCCTGGAAATGATAGTTCCCAAGAACTTGAATGAGTCCACCACTGACACTGGGCTGTTGGATATTGTGTGTGTGTGTGTGTGTGTGGGGGGGGGGGGGGGGGGGGGGGGGGGGGGGCAGCACTGTGGGAAGCTTCCTAAAATCCACGACCATCTCCACAGTCTTAAGGGTGTTAAGCTCAAGATTGTGCTGACTACACCAGGCCTCTCAACTTCTCGCTGATAAGCAGACTCATCACCATCCCGGATGAGCCCATTGACAGTGGTGTCATCTGCGAATTTCAGGATTTTTACAGCTGAGTCATTAGAGGTGCAGTCATTGGTGTACAAAGAAAAGAGCAGTGGAGAAAGGACTTACGCCCTGGATCACATATGTTGTACTGCAATTTAAATGAAAACTATTGATGGGTGTTTCGACCATGCCAGTCATGTACTTTGAGATTTATCAGCTTGTAAAAGTTCATCATTAGCATGACTACACACCAGACATCAGCACGTCGTACAGTATATATGGCATCACTACAGAATCTCCTCTCCCCTAGCTTAGTCGCTACTTACCACATGGCCAGATTTATGGTGGTTCTGAAGAAAAGATTTGAAGTTTGCTGAACTTACAGCCATTTTACCTCTGTTTTTCTCCATGTCTGGTTCGATGATGCCACTTTCGTGAAGCGCATTTGTAGTCCTGGACTTAATTTCACAAAAAACCTAAACCACGCATTTCCCCCCATGCAAAAATAAATATTGGTATCAAAATGCTTCTTTAAAATTCATGGACATCATATGTGTAGCAATTAATACATATTAATTATGTTCAAT